ACCAGGTTGTATTGCAGACACCAGAACCAGCCTGTTGAGGAGGAGCAGAGCTCTGCCCGTCACACAGACTCCCTTCAAACTGCCTCGCTTCACACAGGTACTCTAATCAATACTCATCAATACTCATCAATATCTAATCAATACTCATCAATATCTAATCAATACTCATCAATATCTAATCAATACTCATCAATACTCATCAATATCTAATCAATACTCATCAATACTCATCAATATCTCATCAATTCAATTCAATTCAATTTTATTTGTATAGCGCCAATTCATAACAGAAGTTATCTCAGGACACTTTTCAAATAGAGCAGGTCTAGACCGAACTCTTTAAAACATTAATTACAGAGACCCAACAGTACCACCATGAGCAAGACCTTGGAGACAAGGGCAAGGAAAAACTGCCTGTTAAAAGGCAGAAACCTAGGACAGATCCTCCGGCTCTAGGTGGGTGGTTGTCTGTCTCGACCAGTTGGGGTGAGAGAGAGAGAGAGAGAGAGAGAGAGAGAGAGAGAGAGAGAGACAGACAGACAGAGACAGAGAGAACAGACAGACAGACAGGTGCACAGCAACAACAGTATTGGCAATGGCAGTCAAGCAGGACCATGGCAGGAGGCTCCACCAGGATCGATAAGAACCTGCGAGACGAGAAAGCACAAGAACTCCGGGGAAGAAGTGAAGTTAGTAACATGCAATAATGGGACATGAATGAGTGCATAAAGAGAGAGGAAGGGAGTAGCTCAGTGCACCATGGGAAATCCCCCGATAGTCTAGGCCTATAGCAGCATAACTAAGGGATGGTTCAGGACTCACCTGATCCAGCCCTAACTATAAGCTTTATCAAAGAGGAATGTCTTAAGCCTACTCTTGAATGTGGTGAGGGTGTCTGCCTCCAGAACCACAACTGGAAGCTGGTTCCACAGGAGAGGAGCTTGGTAACTGAAGGCTCTGGCTCCTGTTCTACTTTTAGAGACTATAGGAACCACAAGTAGCCCAGCATTCAGAGAACGTAGTGTTCTAGTGGGGTAATAGGGTACTATGAGCTCTTTAAGATATGAAGGGGCCTGACCATGAAGAGCTTTATAGGTGAGGAGGAGGATTTTAAATTCTATTCTAAATATTCATCAATACTCATTAATATCTAATCAATACTCATCAATAATCATAGAAACACTGATGATGGTCAGTGTGTGCTCCTGGTTTTGTTTTTGGGCTCATTTCCTGTCTGGTTGACTCTTTCAAAATAAAAGCAGTAGAAGGTTAGATACAGTGGAGCAATTAATAAAAGAAATATCAATTAGGATCAATATCACACACTGTGATAACGGTATGATATTGATCAGTATACACTGTATCTTTATGGATGATATTGATCAGTATACACTGTATCTTTATTGATTATTGATCAGTATACACTGTATCTTTATTGATTATTGATCAGTATACACTGTATCTTTATTGATTATTGATCAGTATACACTGTATCTTTATTGATTATTGATCAGTACACACTGTATCTTTATGGATGATATTGATCTCCTCCTCAGGTCCCTCCAGCTCTGGATACCTTCAGGGACCCGGAGGCTCGTCTGCGGGCATTCAGGGCTCATCAGTCGGACTCTGTGTCCAGGAGAGGAGTTCAGGGTCTGGGGTCATACAGTCTGGACTGACCTCTGACCTGAAGGAGGAAACACTGAACACATTAATAAAAAATAATAAAACATCTTTTCCATCTGATTCAGTGTTTTCATCCATCAACTCATTAAATCATTAAATGTCCGTCAATACTTCAGTTTGTAACTGATCAGGTTGTAGAGACTCATGAGGCTGTTCAATTAATAACATTATATGTTTAATGTTATTATTTCCTATACGTTAAAGAACCAGTGTGGAGGGTTCAGTGCCATCTAGTGGAGGAGTTGCAGATTGCAACCAACTGAACACCACTAGTGTCAGTAAAGTGTCTCTATAGATCCAGAGTTTGTCTGTTCTGGGCTCCTGTAGAAACATGGCGGTCCAACATGGCGGTCCAACATGGCGGACTCCACCAGAAGAGGACCCTCTCCCTCTGTAGATAAAAACGTCTCATTGTAACAAACACAGTGATTGTTATTATCAGCTGATTAAACACTAATGAACACAAACCTATAGATATATTATTATTATTATATTAATGTGACTCAGTGGAGCTTTAACTGGGTTTGATTGTTGAAAAAGGTTTGAGAACCAATTAAACTGTAGTCTGACTGTAGTTACAGACTACAGTCAGACTACAGTCAGCTGGAGGAAAGTTAATATTTATTTCTTCACATCAACACACAACAAACTCTTTACCTCCCTCCCTCCCTCTCTCTGTCTCTCTCTCTGTCTCTATTATCTCTCTGTCTCTCTCTGTCTGTCTGTCTCTCTGTCTGTCTGTCTGTCTGTCTGTCAATTCAATTCAAATGGCTTTATTGACATGACGTAACTCTGTACATATTGCCAAAGCTAAAAATAATAATAATAACAATAAAGGAAAACAATATTTACAATAAATGAATTATTATCTCTACTGTTGGTAATACTGTAATTATGATTGACTCAATCACAATCACAGTCACAATCAATCAATCTCAGTCAATAAGTAATTAATTACAATCAATCAATCAATCAATCAATCAGTTTGTGTCAACTAAAAATGTCATTAAAACAGTAGTAAAGTAACTACAGTTAAAACGAGTAATCTGTTGTCAATATAACAGTAATAACTAATTATTAAATATAATATATATAATATTAAAATATATTAAAATTAAAATAAAATAGATAAAACTGTAAACGCGTGTGTGTGTGTATATATATATATGTTTAAAAACAACAAAAACAACAACAACTAAAACAATCAATTATTTACATTTACAGAGTTTCCACTGGTTGTCCTCAGTTCGTGGCATGAGGAGACATATTTTGCTGCAATAATTTGACTTTTGGGCATTTCTCCCAGTAAATAGGGGAGTTTCTGTGTGTCTGATAATAATTCGAATTCGGGGTATATTTGGGAAATGTTTGCAAATTGTTTTTCTCTTAAAGTTTTGAATTTAGGGCATGAGGTTAGAAAGTGCAGCTCTGTCTCTACCTGTCCTCTGTCACACTGGGAGCAGAGTCTCTCCTCTTCTGGTAGCCAGTTCTGTCTGTGGCGACCCGTTTCTATGGACAGACTGTGTTCACTCAGTCTATATGCTGTCAACATTGTTCTTAATTTAGGACATTTTATTGTGCTCAGGTAATTTGCCAGTGTGAATTCTCTTTTTAGGGTCAGATAACATTGTAATTTACTTTGTGATTTGGTCGTTTCTTTCCAGTATTCAATATATTTTTCTTTTTGCTTGTTGATAATTTGGTTTGGTCTGATTGAGTTGGTGTTGCTGTCCTGAGGCTGTTGGGGACATGTTACTGCAGAGAGCCTCAGGACCAGCTGGCTGAGGGGACTCTTCTCTGGTTTCAGCTCCTGGTATGTTAGGGCTTTGTGATGGTATGTCTGGGGGTTAACTGATTTTAAGTGATTGTAAAATTGAATTGATCTTTTCTGTATTTTTAGTAGGAGGGGGTATTGGTCGAGTTCTGCTCCAAAAATTTTTTTGGGTTTTTTCTCCCCCCCGGAGGGATCTCTTACAGAACTCAGTGTGGAAAGATTCTATGATTGTTTTGTCCCATTTGTCAAATTCATTATTTAGTTTTGGTCCCCAAATTTCGCTGCCATATAGAATTATTGGTTCTAGTACAAATTGGAAAATGTTAAGCCAGATTTGGATTGGAATATAGATTTTAATGTTTCTCTTTATTGCATAGAAAGCTCTCCTTGCTTTGTCCCTCAGATCTTTCACAGCCATGTTGAGGTTTCCTGTGTATGTAATGTTGAGGCCAAGGTAAGTGTAGTTTTTTGTATGTTGTAATTTAGTGGTGTCTAAATAGAAATTGTGTGTAACCTGATTTCTGTATTGTTTCTGAAAGATCATTATCTTAGTCTTTGCTGTGTTTACTGTCAGGGCCCAGGTCTGACAAAATCTCTGCTGCAAACCTTCTTTAGTAGGTGAAAGCAACACTAAGTCATCTGCATACAGCAGACCTCTGATCTCTGTGTCGTTCAGGGTGAGGCCAGGTGCCGTGGAACGCTCTAGTTGGTTCGCTAATAATTCTGAGGTTTTTTAATAACTGTGATGGACTGGCTCAGTTCTGATTTACACCATATAATCATGCCTCCTGAATCTCTGCCTTGGGTCATTGTGGGATGTTTTGTTGATGGTATAATAATCTCAGTGTAGCCGTGAGGACAACCAGTGGAAACATCTTCTCTGCACCATGTCTCCTGTAAAACTATGATGTCTTTTAACTCTCTATTAAAATCTGAGTTTCTGCTCTTTAAACCAAAAGCTGATGATCTCAGACCTTGAATGTTCCAACATTGTGATCCGTTCAAAAATTAGACAAACACCTTAAAAGAAAAATAATAAAAATAAACTAGATATTAAAAAAAAATAATAGTAATAAATGAAAAGTGTAAAAAGACGAAAAGAGGTAAATTAATAAAATATTAAACTTTGAGTGACATTTTAGAGTGTATCGTGTGAAATACTGTTAAGAATTGTCCTTATATTACTATTCATTTAAAATGATATACAACATGTTAAACTATTAATAATTGTGGTGTCTCTGCTCTTCCACCATGTAGCTACATGAGGCGAGAGCAGAGCAGGTTTAGCATGTGTAATATTTCTATGAGTTCACCAGAGGGGGGTGGGGCTGTGGCACCGCTGCAGCATAGTTCAGCCCAATAGGCTGCTGCTCCTGTAGTCTTGGTTCTACCGTTTGGAGGAGGGGGGGTATAGGACCTCCAGGCTGGGAGGCTCTCTGGCTGGGTATCAGAGGCCAGTGTTGTGTTGGCAGTGGGGTGGGCTGTGGGTTGTGATGTTGGTGATGCGGTGGATTTGGTGGCCTGGTTGTCCTCTCTGACAGCCGGGGGTGGAAGCATGGTGGAGGTCTGGATGGTCTTGAAGGTCGAGGAGGTCCTGGCGGTCTGCGTGGGGTCTGCGTTATGTGGTTACCCCTTGGAGTGGTAGTAAGGCTCCTTCCAAGGGCAACATCCTTCAGGGTCCTAGCAAGGGTGCGGACTGCAGTTCTGTGTAGGTGTATGTTATCATACAGGCAGTCCAGGTGGAGAGTCGGGTGGTGGGCCAAGAACACGTTGGGTTTGAGGGCACAGTCCCTGGAGAGGCTGATATTCACTCTGTGAATGGTGTGAGGGTGGAAGTCTCTCCTCTGCAGCAGTGTGGATATGACTATCTTGCTGATAATCTTCTCTCTCTTTCTCTCTGTCTCTCTGTTTCTCTCTCTCTTTCTCTGTCTCTCTCTCTCTCTTTCTCTCTGTTTCTCTCTCTCTCTCTCTCTTCTCTCTCTCTCTGTTTCTCTCTCTCTCTCTCTCTTTCTCTTTCTCTCTGTTTCTCTCTCTCTCTCTCTTTCTCTGTTTCTCTCTCTCTCTGTTTCTCTCTCTCTCTCTGTGTCTCTCTGTTTCTCTGTCTCACTCTCTCTGTTTCTCTCTCTCTCTCTCTCTCTCTCTGTTTCTCTGTCTCACTCTCTCTGTCTGTCTCTCTCTCAGTTGCTGATCAATCATTCAGTTTTCCACCTGAATCAATAATCATCTCTCAGTTTTACTTTATTATCGACAGGTTAAGATGACGTCACAGTGAACTAACACCTGAAGTTTTACGTCATAATTCCCGCCGATGTCTCCACTCATCCTCTGACCGACAAACTCACCTGAGTCCGGGCGGAGATGGAGCTTTCTGCCTCCGGCTGCTCCAGGTTCCGCATCGACTGTCTGCTCTCCCTCAGGCCGCCCGGCGGGCTCCTCTCCCGGGCAGACCCTCCGGAGCTCAGCCCGGGCGGCAGCAGCGGCTGCTCGGCGCCTCCTTCCCCGCGGAGAGAGCTTGTTCCCCGACTGCAGCCTGCTCTGCTGCCCCGCACCGTCGGCTCCTCTTTTCTGATCCGGGATATCTTAGCGGACTGTCAGCCCTACTCTCACCCGGGACAGGTCCACCCTGACCCGGGACAGCCTGGGCTGGAACCCGAGCCGTTCCAGTCCGGACCGGAAGAAGACTTTCAGGATAAAAGCAGCTCCTCTTCAGACAGCGAGAGCAGAGGTAATCAATAATATTTGATTCCAATTGATTATAAAAATATAAGTTAGAATCTCTGACATCGTTTTACTGACATTTAATCATTTAATCTGGTTAAATATTATATTATTTTATTAATTCTAACTAATAATATTATTAAGTATTAATAATAAAGTGTTTTAATCTGAAGACTGAAATTTAAAATGATTTATTAAAGTAAAACAGCTCTTAATGTGAGTTTTAATTCATATTAATATCTATATTTATTTTCTTATTTAAAACATCACAAATATTTTTATTGTTTTTATTCGCAGAAAATAGAAAATAAGATTTTGTGAATAAATTATGATATTTTATTGATACCTGATACTGACTTTGTTCTTCCTATAACAACAGCAACGATAATAATAATAATAATAATAATAATAATACAGAGGTGATATTTTGAGTTTGCTGCCAGATATATAATCATAATTAATCTGATTGATTCTGTTCATTGTTTTTTTTTTCAATGAGTTAAAAGATGTTAAAGAGAAGAATTAATGTTGAACTGTTCATTAATTATTCATCAGAAAATGTCAAAGAACCCATTTTCTTTGAATTAGATTCATTTTAGTGTGAAAAATAAAATGAAAATATTATCATAAATATTATCTGCAGGTTCAGACCTTCACTGGTTTACTGGTTCACTGGTTTAACTGGTTTAACTGGTTTCAGTTCTCAGAAAGGTTTTTGGTGTTTGTTATTAATATTTTGAGGTTTTTATTTTACTGAAATTAAATTGTAAATGAATCCGTCAAACTGAATTAATAACAAACTGATCTGAATTCAGTTGACGATGAACGACCTCTGACCTGAGTTATTCCCAACCTGAGGGTCGGGACCCTCATTAGGCGTCGCGAGGAATTCACTGTAAAATAAGAAAATGTTATTTTTACAGTAAAAAGCTGTAAATGCCAGAACTTAAACCGTAATACAGTAGAACAGTTTCTATTACAGTAAAAGCATATTAGTGCTGTTATTATAGTATTATATATTTTACTGTATAAATACAAATAATATGAAGTTTATAATAATAATACAGTTTTACAGTATATTAAATATAAACGTGTGACGGTGTTACAGTCTGTTATATAAAAAAATACTTGATTCTGTATAAATTCCTTTAAAATGTCGTATAAATTAGACCACTATGCGCTATCAACGTGAACCACTAAGGGGGTCAAGCTGTCCCTCTCCTGGGGGTCCCTTGAGGTCCTGTTGAGGACCTGTTGGGGCCCTGTTTGGGCCCCAGGCTCGACTCAGTGATCCAGATTCTGATTTAAACTCCGACAGTCAGACACAAACAAGGTGACTGTTATTAAAATCAGATTTATTCTCTGGAATCAACTTTCAGACCTTGAAAGCAGAAAACTGATTCAAGGATTTTCCAGGACCTGCACAGATGAGGCCTTTAATGATCACTGATCAATCAATCATTTCCACCTGTCAATCACCCAGGGCAGGGCGGGGCTTCAGACCCAGCGGAGGCCCGTCTGAAGAAACCTCGTAAAGCTCGGACGGCGTTCAGCGACCAGCAGCTGGCCCGGCTGGAGAGGAGCTTCCAGAAGCAGAAGTACCTGAGCGTCCAGGACCGCATGGAGCTGGCTGCGTCCCTGCAGCTCAGCGACACCCAGGTCAAGACCTGGTACCAGAACAGGAGGTAACACGTCACACACACAGGGACGGATATAACGAGACAACGTGGGCCCCCAGTCCTGTAGGAGGAGAACCCAGACTGACCCAAAACCACCACAGATGACGTCTGTGTCTCTGTGGTGGTATTGGGTCTCTGAACCTGTCTGTCTCTCTGTCTGTCTCTCTGTGTCCAGTACCGCTGCAGACAGACACATGAGAGTTTAATAATGGACGCTGTGTGATCAATAATTCAGCAGTGTGTGCTGTAATTAATGATCAATAATTCATGCAGAAACAAATCTGGAGCTTTTAGTGCAGAATCTCGGAGAGCGGGAGGACGCAGCGATTGTTTATTTATTGATTTATTGTTATTGTTTATTGTTGCACAGAGAATGCTGCTTTGTGATTGGCTACAGGACGTTAACCATCACTGCGTTCTTTCAGAGTTTTAATTGTGATTAAACGAGAGAAACAAATATAAACATTTAATAATTATAAATGAATATGTCTGAATCTAAATCCGGATCCTGTTTCCTCGTCAGGACCAAGTGGAAGCGGCAGTCTGCCGTCGGTTTGGAGCTGCTGGCTGAAGCCGGCAGGATGTTCCTGCCCTCGCACTACCTGTACCCTCCTGCCCCGCCCACACTGGACCTGTACCTGTACCGAGGCCATGCCCCCCACCACGTCCCGCCTCTGCTGCCCCGTGTCCTGACCCACACTGAGCCCCTCCCCCGCTGACGGCAGCAGGCTGGGAGGTTTCTGCAGGACCGCGATCAGGAGCTTGTTAATGTTTGGAGATAAAAAATCTTTACTTTTGATTTTTATCTGAATAAAGACGTTTGTTGGACCTTTTCCACAGCAGGACCGCCATCAAACCGCCTGCAGTCTCTGTTGTCCCCCGCTGGGTGGACGGGTCCCTGGAGCTGGGCTCTGCTCAGGAGGTGATACTCAACCCGGGTCAGGTGCTTTCAGGGGTCGGAGGCAGTCCACCACCGCGTCTCGCTGCGTTCAGGCAGTCAGATCTGGGAGCAGAAACTCAGACGATGAGACATTTTCTGTAGTTGTTATAATTCATTTTTTTAACTTTTCAATAAATATGCAAACACTTGTTGTTATTCGTTGTGTATGTTGATGCTGAATGAGGTTCCAGTCCGATCCCGACCCATCTCGAGACGCTTTTATGGGCAAATAAGTTCATTTAACTCAAATCAAAAGTTTTAATTAAAATGAGAACAGTTTTTAAGTCATAAAGAAACATTAGTAGTAGTGTTACTAGTTTTGAGTGACTCTGACTCATTACAATCAATACAGAGTAAAATCAACTTCATCAGGAATCTTTTCTAACTTAAAAAACTGAGTTTGTGTTAAAATGTTTGATGCTGAATCCATTTAAACTATTTTCACGCTACAGCGTCTCCGTCTGACCTCCGCCTGAGTAACTGCGTCTCCGAGTAAACACAGCTTAACGCTAAGAAAACAGCACTGAAGATATGATGATAAAAAGAATCTTGGTTTATGTGTTTGTGGAACCGAAAGGAATAAATCTCCAACTGGTTCCTGAAAAGATTCACAAAAACATGAAAAGTTTTGGAATATCTTTGATTTCCTGGAACCGACACAAACTTCTTTTTCTCCCCTTTTGTATAAATTATATTTTTATACTGTTTGTCTCCCAATAAAAACATCTTTTCAAACATGTTTTATTTTCTATGATTTTGCTGCAGCGAACAGGTCAAAGGTCGCACTGCAGTGTGTGTTTGATGACCTTTTAGAAATAAAAGCATGAATCCTGTCGCTCAGCGGTTCTCTGGTTCTGCTCTTCTGGTTCTGACTCTGTGGAACATGAATCTGAGACATTTGATTGATGAATTAATGATAAACAACTTCATCAGAAGTGCTGGAGGTTCGTTCTCCGTCCGTCCAATCAGACGAAGGAACCTTTCATCAGAATCAGCTGATGAAATATTAAAGAGCGGCTGAAATATTAATACTGTTAAAAGGCAGCGATTACACATCAGAACCACAACTCTGTGAATGTTTCCTTAAGTGCAGCAGAGTGTCTGAAAGCTAAAGTTCCACTTTACTTTAATGTGTTCATTTATTTATCATCTATATGTGAAGTTTCCTCCGTCTGAAGTTCACGGGTAAAGAAGTTTATATAA